CTCATCCTGTGCAATAACGCAATGATACAAAAAGGCTCGTGTGGCTGCACCGACTACCACACCCAGTAATCGACTCATTCCAACCCACTGGGTAGGTCCTCAAGCTTCCTAATGGGATAGTCCAGGTTTGGCCCTTCAACCACCACTGTAGGTGGTGTAGCCTACAGTGTAGGTAATTAATTACTACTGCTAAGCCTCAGTTTCCTCATCTGTGAAATGAGGATAATTATAGGAACATGGGGTATGGACCTCATAGGGTGGTGGTAAGGATGAAAGCAGATAATGCATGTAATTAGCACAGTCCTGGCACCTCAGAAGTGCTCAGTAAATTTTAGTCGACATCCTTTTCATCATCCCAGATGTTCCTATATCACTGATTTTCTCTGCCTATCCCAGTTTTCCATATACATACTTACCTAAAAAGCCTCTATGAAAGATATGTTTTATTGATTTGGGAGAGAGAAAAACATTGATTGGTTGCCTCCCATACAGGGAATTGAACCCACAACCTAGGAATGTGCCCTGAGTGGAAATCGAACCCACAACTTCTTTGGTGTACAGGACAACGCTCCAACCAACTGAGCCACCTAGATGAGTGAAAGTCCTCCATTTTAAAATCCAGAATAGAAGGGACAGCATGAGCAGGGATGAGAGATGAAAATACTTCAGATAACTTCCCTGAGAGTCCAAGACAGAGATGGCAGCCACCAGCTGTCTGTGTGCATCCTCTGACCTCCCCGAGGTGCACAGTGCAGGATCAGTACAGGACAGGGGAGCAGGCTGGGCCAGCATGACTGGTTCCTAGAGCACAAGTGAGCTGGAGCCCCTTGTCATCTTTCAGAGTAGCTAGAGCCAAAATTCCTGAGATGCAACTCACTTCAGGTCCTACATCCCCACTGTCACCCTCTCTTCCCCCATTAGCTAAGAGGTGGTACTCACCAAAACATAGACCGCCTTCTCACAGGCAGCTCCAACAGGTACCCAGCCGTTAGTGCGGCGGCGGCGATGGCGGCGTGGGCGTGGGCGCTGGACACGTGGTTGCTTGGGGTGGCTGGGCCTGCGGGCAGCCTTGCTCCTCACAGTGTGCCTACAGCTGGAGCCTGTGCGTAAACCTGACTTGGAGCCACTAGGAGGCTTGGCGCTTTGAGGGCATGCACGGGCTACTGTCTGAGGCTCTGAGGTGGGTGTCTGAAGATGAGGGACGGGCTCTGCTGCAGGTGGCACGCTGGGCACAGGGCATCCCAGGAGGGGGTGGGCAGGTGAGGCTGGGTGGCCAGCTTCTGGAAGAGGAAATTCCAGCTGGCCCAGGGACCTGCAGCCTTCTGGGAAAAGGAGAAAGAAGGTCAGGACAAGTAAGGACAAGCAGTAACCCCACCCTGGCCTCTCTGCTTTCAGAACCTGTTCCTATTTTAATTCTAAGTGTGAGCTCAAAGGCTGCAGAGGTGAAAAGTTGGGTCAGGGGCCTTTAAAGTGGATTGTCAGAGTGACTAGCCAAGTGTGTTTCTTGACCTTGGAGACTGGGCCACAGTCATCTCTATCTCCCCTTCTAACCTGAAAGAAGGCGGTGGATAATGGGAACAGCTTTTCTAGCTCTGATTTAATCTCCTCTAAAGCTTCCACAGTGCTTAGGAGCAGAGGAGCTGGAATCAGACAGCTCAGGATATGAATCCCAAACCTGCCACTTAGTTGTGTGACCTCAGGCAAGTCCCTTGACCTCTCAGTGCCTTGCAATAGTAGTAGTTGCAAATATGTAGTCTGTTCTAGGTATTTTTCTTTATATATATAATTTATTTTTTTACAGAGAGGAAGGGAGAGGGATAGAGAGTTAGAAACATGAATGAGAGAGAAACATCAATCAGCTGCCTCCTGCACACCCCCTACTGGGGATGTGCCTGCAACCAAGGTACATGCCCTTGATCTGAATTGAACCTGGGACCCTTCAGTCCGCAGGCCGACGCTCTATCCACTGAGCCAAACCAGTTAGGGCCTAGGTGTTTTTCTTATCAATGTATTAACTCACCTCATCCTTACAACAACCTTATGAGAAAGGGACCATTATTCCTATTTTACAATTAAGGAAACTGAGACATTGAATAGTTATTGGCTTGTCCCAGTCACGTGGCTAAGGAAGTGGGATAGAACCTTTCACTCCAAGTCTGGCTCCACAGTCTGCTCAATTACATGCCAGGTGGCCTCCCATCTGTAAAGTGCTTTAGAACTGTGCTGGCACATGGTGCTTCCACACGGTCCCAGGACAAGAGGGTAAGGACCTTGGGTCCCACAAGTTAGGTGTCCAGACTTGGAAAGTGGTCCAAAAGAGAAGGAAAAGCCCGAGAAGAAGCCTATTCTCATTTCTAAGAACCCCAACTCACACCAGAAGCTGAAACAACCAGTCTGGTCAGAGTCAACTGGTCTATAAAGTTGTTTTATAGACCCCCTACAAGAGGGGTGTGAGGGAGGGGAAGCCTGGGAAGGCCTGGCCTCTCACTTCACCAGCAGCAGGGCCAACCTGCCAGCCAGGATGGCTCTGGTCACCTTGTTTCTACTCAGGAGCCAGGAAGGGAGCCTGGAGAAGCATGTGAGGACACTGCTGCCAATTTGGGGGAAGAGAGATCACTGTGGGGGTGTCTCATCAGCTGTATCACGAGCCTCTCAGGTGTCTGGGTCTTGCCAGGAAGGCAGACACCAAAGCCACAGGCCCTGTGAGCACCCTGTCAGTGCCAGGGAACTCTGTCTGTTCTTAGAGTGTGCCCACCCTATCCACCCCTAGCAAGGTGATGCTAAGCCTGGGCACTTCTCTTTCAAAGCCTGTATAGCCAGGGTACAGCTGTTCTACTGCAGTTGGCATCACCTACTGGACCTTGTAACCCCCACCCTTTCTATGAATGCTGTACTTGGCTGGCATGCAGATGGTCTGGGCTCCTGGAAAGTAAGGAATTCTAGCTTTCTTCAAGGAGGACAGAAGGGACATAGAAACAACTTGGCAAAAGCCCTAATTTTAATAACTTGCTACTCAGAGTCTAAGATTGGCAATCCCAATGGGGAGGGAAGAGGCCCCTCCTGTCCCCTCCACCACAACAATGCTACCTATGGCAGCCAATGCTGTCAGGCCAAGAAATCTCTCCATAGACAGTGGGGACAGAGCAGGGCTGCTAAAAGCTAAACACTGGCCCCTTTCCTGGAACTGCTCCTAGGCTTGGGGTACAAAACAAGGGAAGTCCTCCCCTTCCAAAGCCCCCTACCTCCCATGCAGTAGTACCTCAAGGAGCCCCCAACCCACCCTCCTGGGACAGTGTTTCAGAGACTCTCTAGTACATCCCATCCTCAGGAAGGCTTACCTGCTGCAAAAGGCATTTTGTAGGAACAGCCGCCACAGGTAGTGCCAATGTGGGTAAGAGAAGGGGGCAACATTTCACAGATGCTATAGCCATTCACTTCAGCATCCTCACTGGAACAGTAGTGAGAGCCCCAGGGAGGATGCAGGAAAGGGGTGCCTGCAGGCACTGAGCTCGGGGCCACAAGGGGCCCCTCGGTAGGTGCAGCCACAGGGGACAGCTTGCCCTCGGGGAGCATGGGGCATGGGGAGTAGCCCCCACACTGCAGCCCATCTTGGCTGCAATACAGGTAGAAGCTGCCTAGCGCAGTGAGCTCAGGCCGACCACACAGCCCACTGTAGTCGGCGGGGTTGCCAGGCATAGGCAGGAGGGACAGCTGGGGTGTACGGAAAGAGGGCTGGTGCAGTTCCTGCTTGGGGGCAGGTGACTCCTCTCCTGGGCGCCCAGGCTCTGGCTTCAGGGCTGCCTGTCCACCCATCAGCAGGGGCAAGTGGGGGCGCAGCCCTAAGGGGCTCTCCAGAGCCTTGCTCAGGGGCTGGTAAGGTAGCTGGCTGGATGGTCCATGAGGGGTTGCAGATAACCATGGCTCCTCAGGGCACCCTTGCCAGCTGGGTGGGCTTGCAGCCTCCCCAGAGCCAACCCCCTGCTGGGCCTTGGGATAGTTCTTGCCATTGACTTTGGCCCACTTTGGCCTCAGAGCCTTCAGTGCTGGTGGCTCAGTGGAGCGCCTGTCTGCTTCTGTGTGGGCACGAGGTGGCCGCAGGGGTAGCTCCCGCTCCTGGCTCAGCTTTAGGAAGGCAGCTGCATTCAGGCTGGCCAGTCTCTTGGGAGCTAGGTCACCATCTCGGCGGGCACCTTCATCCGGTGCTGGCTCTGGGGACAGATCCCGACCTTCTCCTCCGCGGTCCTCCAGTCGTGGCCGCTTCTTGGAGGAAGACCAGCCTCCAGTGGCCCTGTCCCGGTCCCGGTCCCGACTGTGGTGGTGGTCTCCGCCTCGACTGCGGCGGCTGCCCGCCAGGCTGCTGGTGTCCTCCCGCTCCAGCAGCAGGTTATTCAGGGCCTCGGCATTGAGGGAGGCCAGGCGCCGCTTGCGGGGCTGGGTGAGGCCAGTGTCCTCACTGGATGGATCCGGGCTGGGGGGTTTGGGAAGGTCAGGGGGCAGCTCATCAGCCTCATCTGCACTCCGTGGATCAGCCACATTTTCTAGGCGAGTCAGCAGCACTTTGCAGGCCTTGGGCTTCTCAGGAACCAAGGGACGCTTACGCAGTGGGTAATTCTTGCGGCGCCCTGCGAGGTGCCCTGGGCTCTCAGGCATGCCTGGGTCCATACCCTCCGCCCCCTGCTCCATATTGCTGCCTTCCATTTGCAGGGGCTCCCGGCGGCCAATGGGGCCCGAATTCAGCATGGGAAGGGACTTCCTCCGAGTGTGTGTCATGAAGTACCTCCAATCTGCAGGAGAGAAGGAAGGCAATGAGAAAAGCCTGCCCTGCCCTGCTTTTCCTCCCACTGCGGCCTATCCAGCCCCACCTACAGTAACTCCGGCCTACCCTCACCCATTTCCAGCCTGGATTTTCATGGGATCCTCTTCCACAGTGCAAAAGTTCAATGAGGTCAGGGTATCAGCAGCTATGCAAGGAATGGCTGCCCCATTCTTCTTTTATTTTTTAAATATATTTTTATTGATCCGAGAGAGGAAGGGAGAGGGAGAGACAGAAACATCAATGATGGGAATCATTGATTGGCTGCTTTCTGCACACCCCCTACTGGGGATTGAGCCCACAACCTGGGCATGTGCCCTTGACCAGAATTGAACCGGGACCCTTCAGTCCTATACTCTATCCACTGAGCCAAAGCAGCTAGGGCTGCCCCATTCTTCTTTTAGCCTAGGGCCCTTCTTTGAACTAAGCCCTGGGAGAGCCTACAGAGCAATGCAGGCCCCAGGGTCAGCAGACAGGAGCAACTAGGAGCTAAGCTCTTAATTCTCTGATTGTTTTTCTCCAGCTAGCTACTCTTCTCTAGCCAGGAAGAGGCTCTGAAGACACTGAGCCAGGATGGGGGCTTGGGTGGTGGGAGTCCATCTATTTCTTCAAAAATATTACCAACCCCCTACCCCTTGATGGGGCTTCTGAGACTGGCCATAGGATGATAAGGAAATGGACAGCGAGGAGTTGAGATGAGGAAGCTGCCTGCCGGGCCATGGAGGAGGCAGAGTCCAGCTTGTGAGGCACCATGCTGAGCATATAGGGCTGACAGCTATAATCTGGTCTTGCTGGAAAAGCCAAGGAAGGGTGAAAGCCTGGCTTTGAGGAGTCGGTGGTCAGGGGAGGTTTCAGCCAGCCCTAGGAGCCAGACCCACCTTGACTCAGGGGATTCCAGGGAAGGGCAGCCTAAACAGTGCCAGTGCCTAGGGAAATAATGTCAGTAAAGCCAGGGCCAGCAATTTTGGGGGGAAAACACAGAGACCACACACTAGTGTGGTACATCTTTAACTCCTCCAATAGCCACTAAGAGCTGGGAAAAGAAAATATCATGGAGAAGAACTAACTCAGGAAGCTAATGGGAGCTGTCTTATTAATCCTGCCCTATTCTGCAGGTATTCTACCTGATAAGCAAGACTCCAGGCAAGAGGCAGGATGGCGCGAGTACCAGGAAGCCCAGAGCCCCTGACCAAAAAAAAAAAAAAAAAAAAA